CTTCCTTCTTGCCCTGCAAACGGGAGGGAGCCCAGGGCTCAAGAACCTTTTGAGCTCAGGGCTCTCTCCCGAGACAGAATTCCAAACTTGCTTTTAATCAATCATCAGCTAAGTGTGAACTCTTGAAAGCACTTCTAGCGACCTTTAAAAAGACTGTTCACCCATAAGGTTTTGTAGCTAAAAATGCAAGCCAGGTAATGTTATAAATGATGTTCTGTTTCTTGCGAGAATTAGTTTTTGTTAATTTGTAAGACCTCAATGCATTATGAGGTATTATTTATTTATTTTTTTATCTCTGTATGTTTTTATGACTCACAAAATGTTATGAATGACCAAAGGCCACATCCTTTACTAGAAGTAACTCCACATTTTGGATGGCCTGAAGGTGAGTCAGTTTAATTGATGTGTTAACTGTCCCTTTAAGTTGAATAAAGCATCTTGGTTTGTCATCAAACTTTTGTCTGTCCTGTAAGTGAATTTGGGTTAGTTCACATAAACACTTAATTGTTGTTTTACTCAGATGCTGTTGCGGCAGCCCAAATATGTTGCTCCAGCAGGAAAGGAAATAAAATTCTAATGAGGAACACTTGGGTTCATTGATGTCAGGTTTAGTGAAAGTTCTGCTAGTTTTAAGTGTAATATTTTCAAAAGAAAAATTGGGTAGTACCCGGGGAGTGTTGTAACATGGGGTTATTGGAAACACTGTCAGTTTAACCATTCAAAAACAATATATGATGGTCAACATATAGCACACATGCAAAGCTCACAGAAGAAGTAGCATGTGTTCGTAAGCAAGATTGTGGATTTTATCACCATAAATATTAATTTTCAAGTAAGAGAGTATTTTTATTAGCCTGATTTTTGGGGTTCATAGCTATTTCTTTTGTTTAATTTAATGCTAGGCATTCACGGTAACTTCAAATCTATATGTGACCCTGGACCACAAAACCAGTAATGTGTCAATATTAGGAAACTGAGATTTATTCATCACATGAAAACTGAAAAAAAATCAAAAAATCTGAGGGTTCAAAAAATTAAAATATTGAGAAAATCATCTAAAAAGTTCTTCAAATCATTTTCCTAGCATTGCATATTACGTTAAAAAACAAAAGTTTTACATATTTACAGTTAGAAATTAACAAAATATCTTTGTGGAACATGATTTTTACTTGATAATGATTTTTGGCATAAAAGAAAATTTCATTGACCCATACAATTTATTTTTGACTAATTAAAAACATATAACTGCTCAACATTAGCCTGGTTTAGTCGTCCAGAGTCACAAGTGATAAAAAAGTTAACAGTTGTAACAATTTATTAAAAATGGCACAACAAACCTCTTATGATGATTTTTTTGTATTTTTTCATATTTTTTCTTTCTTTCTATCCCTCGGCAGTAAAAGTGTAGGATAGTAAGTCCTAAGTACCACATTTGTCACAAATGTTAGATTGGGTGAACCCTTACAATATATATATATATATATATATATATATATATATATATATATATATATATATATATATATATATATATATATATATATATAAGTATATATAAAGTGCTCAGCATATATGAGTACACCCCCCATAAACTCTTACTTAAATTTATATTTTCTATAGGATGCTTCATATTTCATATACATTAGTTTAGTCAGTACTTAAGCTAATCTAACAGAATAGCTTACAATAATGTTTCAAAAATTAATAGCCCAAATTTATATGTTTGTGAAAATATTAAACAATTTTTTAAAATAGCAAAAATCAAGAGAAACAAAAAATATCTACAATTTTGTAATTTGTATTTTTTTTCCAATATTTTGCATGAATTTAAATGTATTATCTTTCCATTTAGTAAACTAAAATATTATTTTAATGAATATATCTGTTTAATAAATTTGTTTTGTTCAAATGCACCAATAAATATAACCCATATTCACTGAGAAATAGATAAAAATATTCATTTTCAAAATGGGGTGTGGGCGATGTGGTGGCGCATAGGTAGTGCTGTCACCTTACAGCAAGAAGGTTTCTGGTTCGAGCCTTGGCTGGGTCAGTTGGCATTTCTTTGTGGAGTTTGCATGTTTCTCCGGGTGCTTCGGTTTCCCCCACAAGTCCAAAGACATGCACTATTGATGAATTAGGTAAGCTAAATTGTCCATAGTGTATGTATGTGAGTGAGTGTGTATGGATGTTTTCAGTGATGGGTTGCAGCTGGAAGGGCATCCGCTGCGTAAAACACATGCTGGATAAGTTGGTGGTTCATTCCGCTGTGACGACCCTGGATTAATAAAGGAACTAAGCCAAAAAGAAAATGAATGGATGGAAATGGGGTGTACTCATGCTGAGACCTATGACACACACACACACACACACACACACACACACACACAGCAATTTGTTACAGTGTTAAATTTCTAAATGAATAGTTCACTTTGTTCTTTAATAAATTACTAGACAGTCAGGATATTATTGCACCAAATTACCTAATAGTTATATTCCAGCAACAAATCATGCAGTACTGTAGGTTTGCAACAACAGAACTCTTTGTAATTGGCATTAACTCAAAGGATCTGTGATTGTGTAGTTGTGAAGTTTAAATGCATTTTGTTTTTAGAAGACAAATATGGCTGCAATACAATGTATCAAAGTTTGAGAGATTAGCATGAACAACCACTAAGTTGTCCCTCAAAAAAAAAAAAATACAATAGCCTTACTCTCATCCCCAGTCTTTTGTATGTTCTCATCAGCCACTGAAAATGAGAAGCTGTTTTGCGACTTTGGTAGAATAGAAACACTACAAATAAACCTAGATCCTAAATAAGACACTTGGTCTGGCAGATACCCAAAGAACCAGGGCCGTTTACTGGCGAAGTGGGTCATTACACTATCAGCGAGGCTTCAGAGAGCACATTATCTCTCCCACTACCACACCTTTACGCCGTAGGCATCCCACAGAATGAAGCACACCACTGAGTGATGTGTGATTGTACCTGCCCAAGGGTATGTGGTCAGTCTGGATATGCCACCGTTAGAGTAAACATGTGGGCGACCACATAAATCCGGACAGGCGAGAGAGAATAAGAGAAAAGACATCATTTCAGTGGTTGATTGCGGTCGAGCATAACTGTCCCTTTCTCTCCATTGCATTCACTGGGGCTGTGAGTCATCCGGGTGATGTCCGGGAGAGTTTGTTCATTAAATAGGTAAAAATACACCCAAATAAAAGGAACACGCCAATTATACGGGGCGTAAGGAGCACACATGTGCCTCCGAGTTTAGTCACTTCACCTCCAAACACTACCCTGGATAAACCCGAAAGACACAGTCAATGGCATTCAATGCGACGTGTAAGTCGTGTAATTTGGGAAAATGAGAGGGTACCAGATTCACATCGACGCTCGCGAGAGAACTCACGCGAGCCGCGTTTCCTCAGCACGCGAAGTCTCCAGATAAAGCGTCGCACATGGCGTTGATGTAATTAATTTGTTTATATATTGGTTTATAGAGGTTCTCGAGCGAACTGGAATAGAAGTAATTGTAGACCTCGCTAACCATGTTTGGAAAAGAATTAGGATGTTCATTGAAGTGATCCCGCTCTCGAAATGTTAAGACAATAAAAGTGAGGTCTTGAGGGATTTTGTGTCCTAGCAGTAAGCGTTTTGGGTGAACCCAGACTTCCGCGAGGTCTCCCGTTATTACAGGGAATAAAACCAGATTTATTATTAAAAGATATCATGCCATTTGATATGGAGTATTATATGTAACATATATTAGATTACATTTTCAAGCGTTACATTTTTGCAATGAAGTCAATGAGCATGAATAATAATTAATCAATAATTCTTTATTAATAATATTGAGCTGAAACACTAGAAAAACTTGGGTATTATAAATCTAAAAAATTGTCACATTTGAGCTTGTATCTCAAAATAATTAAATAGGATATAAGTCAATCAATCAATCTTGTTTGGCCGCATTCCCATCGTTTTTTAATGTCATACTGCTTTCAGGTTTTAGGGCAATGTTTAGATTGAAAAACTAAAAACAAAATTTTGTTTCTATGATCAATTAGTCATGACAGCGTGTGTTTTTTGTTCATAACTTATAAAACTAAGTTCATGTTCAATTTTGTAAGTTATGCAAGCTGTTTTAAGTCAGTTTAACATAATTTAAATTCAATGCCAACCAAGTAAGGTTAATTTGGTTCAACTTAAAAAAAACAAAACAAAACAGGGCAACCAGATTTTTTTACTGGGCAAGCATTAAAAAAAGGTTTAGCAACAATATTCTATCATCATCATCATCATCATCATCATCACTATATTATTATGTTGATTAGCCTACCATTTGTAAAACTCCAGCTTTAATAACAACAATGGTGTTTTACTATTAAAAATATTACAATTATTAAATATTATTTATTTTTAGTTAATTTTAATAGGCTAGTTAATTCTCGTAAGAATTTGCCCATAATATGCTATAAAACGTCTTCAATACGGGTTACAATATAGCTAATTGAAAGTTTCTAGACTAAAATGGAAATTTGATATCAGCAGATATAGTATGCCTAATATTTCTCCTATAATAAATTCATATGGTATTCCCTTCAGCAGTCAGTCTACATCTAAATGACTTGTTTCTCCACTTGAGACTACAAATCTGTTGCACGTCAGAATTGTGTCTGTTTTGCCCATCAGACTGAGGTGAAGCTGCTTGTGATAAACTGCGTGCAGTCACACCAGCTCTGGCTGATATTAGTAACTCTATACAACTCTCATTCAGTCGGGTGATGGACGCGGTCCAGACGTGAACCCACACAAGGGAATACACTGTTGCACTGGCTGTGTCCCGGTAGCCTCCCCCTGCACGGCGGCGGAACCGGCATAAAACATTCACAGTATGTTCGCCGTCTGAGCCGCTTAGCTGGGAAACACGAGACGAGTCGTGGATTCATGTTCCCGGGCGCGCTTGAATAAAGCGCAGAGGCGAAAGCGGTTCGTGTGGTTTGCGCGCAGGATCTTAGAGCGGAGAACATGTGAGAGGGAATGGGAAACTGGAAACTGGATTACACTTTACAGAAAGACGCAGAAGGAGGAACACACAGGTACGCGCATTCAGCCCACATTCCACAACTGTTTTCAGTCATGACTTGTAAATGTTTTCACTCTGTCGGGTCACTTTCATTCAACTGCACGAAAGGGATGATTCATTAAGTTTTGATGTTTGGTTTATTTCATCGCTTTCCCTGGACAGCAATGACCTCAAATTGTTGACATTTGTTTATGTGAAGTTTTGCAGGATGCTTGCTGTACTGAGTTGTAAATAAACCCCTAAGTGCTGTCAAAACGTTTATTAGAGCTTACATGAAATTAAACAGCAAATGCATTCATTTTTCTATATTTAAAATACACATTGTCTTGTGAAATGAACTGTGTTACTGACCGGTCAAATAAGAATTATAGAACTGCATGTGCCAAATGTGCATCATTCATTCTGAATACTTGTGCAAAGTTTACATAAACAAAACTCTACAGAAGTTACAAACAAACCAAGTTCATCAGTTTGGTTAATGTTCCTCACTAGAGTCTGTCAGACTCGCGCGCTGAATGACTTTTGCGCGTTTGTTGTGGTTAAATTCTTATTGCTCCTATTAACGGTACATTTAAAAATACCGTCGTTATGCTGCCGAATATTGTTTCCAAATGTACGTCTGGGTCAACTCACGGCTGACATAGAACATAATTGTCATTTTATTCTGCTTCACAGGATTTTGACAGGGCGCTGCGGCTCCGTTGAGTAGGACATCCGCACGGCTGCCAAGCACTTTCAGCGGAAACACGGGGGAAAAGGAGTTGGACTAATATACCAAAGATGAACACAATTGTGTTTAATAAGTTAAGCAGCCAGGTCTTATTCGAGGAGAAGGCGAATGAGGTGGAAAGAAGCAGTCGCAATTATCTAGAGGTGATAGACGGGCAGCATCCGGACCTGCTCTCCAGCAGCCCAGTCCTCAAAGACAGCTCCGCTATACGGCACAGGAGATCAGGGTATGTCATGTCAGAAGACCTCACGGTCTTTTCTGAAATTTACCTCAGATGCTTTATAATTAAACATTATTACATACCTCCAAAATGTAGAATGTGATTTTATTGATGAGCTTGCACATATTTTTGTTTATCATCTTTTAATTAGATTTTCTGTTCTCAAATGTTTTTAATGGCTGCGGGCGCTTTGGCTGGACTTTTAAAATGAGTAGGTTTCATCTTCACTGTAAATAATTGGGACTTTAAACATTTCTTTTTATTGACGTGAATAATTAGGCTAAACATTCTGTAAAAATACTTTAGAGGTGAAAGTGCATATTGCCTGTTAAAGTCATCTGTGGTCATTTTAACGCTGTTAATGCTTTTAAGCGCGTGACAGCACGGAGAACCTTATTAAAGATAAACATCAAGTTGTTCAATTTGAGGGCCAAGCGGTGAAAAGCGGTGGCACGTCCAACTGTTTGACTTTTCACAGTCCTTTTGTTTTCTTTCCATAGATTTTGAGCTCAGTTGTGGTTTGAGAGCATATGGTTTGAATTTACAGCCTGCTTGGCGACTTCTTATCTAGGATACGTTGAGGTCTCAGAAAGAGAATTGCAGGAAATTAATATTCACAATTCAATTAAGTCGCTGTCGATGGTGCTGAATTAGCAGGGGCTTGTCGATCGGGTACATGAGGTCATTCGTGTTCGGTAGCGAATTTAAAACACGTCCAGGTCTGTTTCTAATAAATAAACATTTCCTTCAACTGTATGTGTGGTCCAGTCAATCACGAATATTTTTGCAGTGAGGGAAACCGTGTCATCCTTTATTTGCCCTGCGAGTTCAGCCTCACCGCCCCAAGCTGTTTATCCCAACCTGTTTTTTATTTGCAGACAACACAGTGCTTCATTATAGGACTGCGATGCACGGTGACACCGAGCCTAAAAGTGATGTCTTGTGAAAAACTTATGCAAACATCCTCCGCTGCGGGTGCGTCTGGCTCGCGCGCATTGAAGCTCATTTCTGCGCGTGTAAGCGGAGCCAATAGGACAACAGTACAGCCGCGCTGCTCGCCTCCAGGGGAATATCGCTGCTAATGAAAATTATTAATATAAATACGGAGGTGTGTGTCGCCCGTATCGAGAACAGGCAGCAGAAAACTTTCTTTGGGTTGTTAATACAGATCTGGGTTACAAGGGAAATATTTGCTGAACATGAACCACGGGGCGTTGAGGGAAAATATGTTAAATGTGCAGTCAGGTTGTTTGAAGATAACAAGGTGATATAACAGCGCCATACTGACATCTACAGGTTTAAATAACCAGCTTCTGTTCGTTCCTAAAATACAGACTCCAATTAGAGGAAAAACAGATTGATGCTGGCCTACTGGAGTTCGTCTGAAAGTTCCAAAAAACGGGTTTTATTTTTTAGTTTATTTATTTATTTGTTTGTTAGAGAACCACTTATGACTGTAGGTGTCAAACAAGGGGCTGGGCTCACCAGGGAGCTTCAACATACCTAAAATGATTTAAAATAATTTACAACTGGTAACTAAGTTGATGTCTTATTTTATTGCATTTGCTCAGCACTTGTACTACTTGAGGACAAGGGGTCCGCATGCTTTGAAATGAGAGCATTTCATCAGTGGGATGTCTGGCAAAAGTCATGGACATTACTGCAGTCTTAAAAGTCATGGACATAACAACTATATATTTTTTCAGAGTGATATCAAGCTGTTAAAAGTTCATTTGTAGTTATTTATAATTGCTACTTATTACTTGTAAGTACATCTAATTTAAAGATTTTTGCAATCTTAAATCACTAGAAAAGTCATGTGAATTAATAAGCAATGAAAAGATGCAGTAATTTAAACTTTTTCTATCTAAAAATTGTAAATGTTTTTGGAGAACAGACATTCGATAGAACAGAAATCTCTTTAAAAAAATTAATTTGTCATTTGGATTAACTTTATAATGGGTTTGGAACTATATGAGGATACTTAGAGGGAGACAGAATGTTGTTCTTAAAAATACAAAAGTAACATAATTATTTATTTAATGTATATCACCGCTACCGTAATTTCTTCACAAAAAGTTTGAAAAGTAGCAGAAATATATTGGGGGCCTGTCATTTACAACTAGGGGCTTCAGAGTCAGAAAGTCAGAAAAGCTGAATACTCTTGACTTAAGTACTAAGAAATCTGAAGAAATAAAAGTATATATATTGTAACATTCATAACTTCTGTAATGCTTGATATAAAATGGCTTTTTATTCAACATATTTTCACATGGAACCTAGAGTAAAGACCTAGTGTAATATTTAATGTGAATCGATGATAATGCACTACAGTACATCTTCACTTAGCATAAAGATCAACAGATTTCACCATAGTCACTTTATGAATGCATAAGATTGTGTTGATAATGCTCATTTCACAGGACATAACTATTAATTATTCCCTTCTATTGCAATATTTAATGGTTAGGGGTGAGTGATATTGACCGAAATTATATCTTTAACATACAGTATGAATATATTTGTCAGTTTTATGACTACCTTGGCTGTTTAGATCAGGTGTTCTCAAACTTTTCAGCCCTAAAATAATAACTCCAGTGACTCGCGACCCCCACTATGCTCTGAGTTGGTTATAAGCATACAAATATTGCACACAATGGTGCACACACAACGATAGGAACTATATAATCATATGCTATTGGCAACACAGAAAAGTGCAACAGTCTTACAACCAAATATTTATTTTAATCATTATTCATTTGTTTAATTTAATATTAACCTCACTTAATTAGAATAGTGAGCACAATATTTATAGCACAAAACTATTCTTGTTTTAATTTTGGAGATTTCGAGCCTATTGGAGATCATCCTTCATGTTCAGTCATGGCATTCATTTTTAATGTATGTGAGTGCCATAAAGGTGTCAAAGTTTTTGATTGTACTGCAAAATCAATGTTCTGCAACTAAAGCAAATGCTGCTATGTTAATCTATCATAATAACCCCAGGGGCCACAAATAAAATATAATAATTGATTAAATGTGATAAATCTAATAGTTTAATATTTAATAAAATATATGAGATTATTGGAAATAACCAAGCGACACCCCCCCCCCCCCAAACCCCCACCCCCCCACACACACATTTTCTCGCGACCCCCACTTTGAGAACCACTGGTTTAGATGATCATGGATACATTATAAAACCACCTGTAGGTGGCAGCAAGTTCCTGTCTTAATGAGTTTTCATTGAATCAACAATTTACAGAAATGTTTTAAGATGGATGATTAATAAAAAAAAAAAAAGAAGCTATAGCGGCTGCCTTTATGACTAATCAACGAATCATTGGCTCCGATGATCAGTTCAAAAACAGATTCCTTCAGAAACAAACTGCAGTGTTAAGATGCACAAATGTTTGCATGCATTGTGTCAGTATTTTATCATGTGTAATTAGTGAAATATCAGATTTTATAGCTATATATCGTATTTTATTTCATGGTTATATGGGCAGTCTAACTGCTTTTTAACTTACAAAAAAGTTTTTTTGTGTGTGTGCAAAGTGAGTGATATGACCGATAATATCAGGTACATATGATTAAAACAACAATTACAGTGTTATTAAATATCTTGCGTTTTTAAATATCTCTTGTAATACTTTATATACAGTATCTCCCATTTGTAAAACTTTTAAACAATCACCAAAAGACCATTGGTCATCTCACTGCATGGCACATTTAGATTAATATTTTGTTAGTTACTATTTGACAATAAATAAAAATCATTTGCTATGTGAAATATATGCAGTGTGACTTTCTCCACACCAGTGCCAATTCTTCAGTCATGTATAATTGTCAGGAGATTTACGTGTCTGCTTGCTTTTCTCACAGGTCTCGTCAAAACCCAGGAAAGGTACGGCATAAACGGCAAGCTTTACAGGACATGGCCCGGCCTCTGAAACAGTGGCTCTACAAACACAGGGACAATCCTTACCCCACTAAAACAGAGAAAATTCTTCTCGCGCTTGGCTCACAAATGACACTTGTGCAGGTACATTAATTTTCCACAACTTTTCCACAGGCGTCCTACCAAGAACTACTAGTTCCTGACAGAAGGATTGTTAAAATGACATTTTTCTTTTTTACTTTGAGGTGTTCATTCCAGACAAGAGGTGCAAGCGAAAAGTTTCTTTCTTTTTTTATCATTTAGCCAATATATTTTTAATTCAGAGGCATTCTGGCTTGTGTTTAACTCTTTACATATGTGTTTTCAAGTCTGCGCTGAGTGTCGGTTTCTGTGTACATATCTGTCTCAGTCTGTGTCTCTGTATATACGTGAAGACATAAACATGTTCTCTAAATTTGTTAAGAATTGGCCCAGCCTTAGGATGCTAGTCTGGATGACCCTAAAATTTAATCTGGTTCTAATATTCATGAAAAGAACCCCTTTGTTAAAAATGTGAGCAGACCACACTGCAATATAGAGAAGGAAAAAAAAAAGATTTTCAAACACAAAACTGATGCTCAATTTCAGCGAACAAATAATCTCATGCTAAAGTAACTTAACAAGACGTGAACATCTCTGGACTTTAGTAGTACAGATACACTTGATGATAGTTTCTTCAAAATGTACTGGCCTCTGTTGACCCTTTTAAAATAAGTAATATGTCTGTTTTCTCTTAGGAACTTTATATAAAGCAGAGGTCAGGAAACTCGGGGCTTAAATATCGTTTTTAAAGAAGTGGCCCAGCACAATGCCTGTCATAAGTGGCTTGAAGTGTATCAGGCATGAAAAGTTTTCCTAGTATAACATCTAATGGTCTCTGTGAAATGGAGAAGGCTGGGTCAAATATTGTTTTTATTGCAAAAAGACAGACATCGGGCACAAGAAAAGGAATATTATTAGGTGAGAGTGGCAGAGGCCAGAATAAGCACCCAGGTCGTCACCGTCTCAGTTGAAGAGGAATTAATGTAATGTTACATTCACAGTGTGCCTTGGATATCTGTGTGGCATCAGCCTTCTGTTTTTAATGGTTTACATAGTGTCCTAATAAATAAAGAAATATCTGGGTCTTTTAGTCCAGACACATGTGTTTCTGTGGGAGACAGACATGCTGTACGTAGGAGAGAAACACTCGAGTTACAGGTTAAGATCTGTTGCGTCTTTTTCTACCCAGCCTTATTGGAAAAACATTCCTCAACTGACATTTTTTTGCAAAATGCACTGTAGTTCTGCTGAAATGAACACTAGAGGCAGTAAAAGGGTAATAAATTGCATCCATTTTCAAAAAAAAATAAGATAATATGGCAGATTGTCCCTTTATGAAGACTCACTTCTGTGTTATTACTTCAGCAAAACACTTTTATTATAAAACATGATTTATAAACTACAGCTACACAAGCGGTGTACACATCACATCTTCTAATGTGCTTAAATTGCTCAAATTTATTTAGTCAAAAAATTTTTTGTTTATTTATTTAAAAATTAATAATGGCATGTAAAAACCAGGTAAAATGCCATGGTTTCTTTGAATAATGCACAATGCCACATGTTTTTAGTTTATGTTTATGGTAATGTTTGGTATGGATGGTGTGTAATTTTCGACACTCAAAAAAATTTATTTATTTTTTGCTCGTTCAAACTACTCTATTACAATGAGCTGAAACAACACAATTCTTGAGATTTCACAACTTAATTTTTTATGTTCAATCCACATAAATTTGTTAAAAGTGTTAGGTTAACTAAATCAATTTGTGTTGGGTCAACATGAATGAATTATGTGGAACCCTGCATTTTTTACAGTGAATGACAACCTTGAAAAATTGAATGGAGTTTTCAAATTGTTGTAATGTATGAATCAACAAAATAAGACATTGCCACTAAGTGTATTGGCCACCGATATTTAGCGGCTTATTTTTCATAAGCTTAAAGCGATCAACTTATCTGCAATAATATGAAAAATGCAGACACTTATGGGTTACTAATTATAGGAAGGAATTCCAATGTTTTTTCTAAGCCATTTCATTAAATAATTGCAAAAGACTAAACCTAACCTGTACAAAATATTAGATGTTCTTGGGTAAAGCAGCTGCTGAGCACCATGCTCAATAACTGCCACAAAACCATTGGTTGGTTTGGTTTTTCAAAATACAAGAAACCATCTGCACTTTTCTGGAGTAGTAAAATGTATCATTTACACGTAGCAATAGCACTGGCTTTATTTGTTAAGTCTATTTAAAAAAAATGTTATTATATGTCAAATAAAAGCTAGTGTCCTTAAAAGAAATATTGAAAATCTGTGCTTCTCTTAAAACGCTGGAAAGTTGAATGTTAAATAAATCTAATCCATGTTCTAAAGCCAATTTAATGAAGAAGAAAAAACAACAAGTACTGCATACAATTAACCAGTATCAGTATCAAAATCTTTCAAACTGTTTTTTGTTAAAAACAGATAATGGCCAAAAAATAAAAATCCTATTGTTGCATTCTTTATTGCCACATTTTATTTAATTTTGTGAAAAGTGAACATGTTTTTACCACTAATCCCTGGACAATTATCTTTAAACCTGACACAGTGCATGTAAAATAAACATTTTCAGGAAGTTATTTTTCATTTATTTTGTTTATCTATCTATATTTACCTTAATTTTAACACTCACTGTCTCTGTCTCTCTCTCTCTCTCTCTCTCTCTCTCTGTTTTATTTTCAGGTGTCTAACTGGTTTGCAAATGCTCGACGGCGACTGAAGAACACAGTTAGGCAGCCTGACTTGAGTTGGGCGCTTAGGATCAAACTCTACAACAAATACGTCCAGGGCAATGCAGAAAGGCTGAGCGTCAGCAGTGATGACTCCTGCTCTGATGGTACGACATGCACACACTCATGCACATACACTGTGAATACAACTGAGCATAATTATTTATACAGTGCACTTTTTGTCCATACAAAGTCAGCGAGGTCCAGTGTTGTGTTGGATCAACATTCTTCAAAATGTATTTTTTTTCTATAGGAAATAAAGCCAGTCTGTGAGGGTGTGTAAATAATGACATCCTATTATTCTTTTCTTTTCTTTTCTTCTTTTTTTTTTTACCAAATGCAGACTTTAACAGTCAGTCACAAAAATGCACATTTGATTGACCACTAATAGGAAAACTGTAGAGAATGTGTTGTCTCAGTATTTTTGTGGTGGTAAACGTCTTGGATGAGTTTACCACTTATCAGCATTTCCATAAATATTTTGATGTTCTATCTAAACCTTTTTCCTCAAAAAGTCCCTGAATGGAAACATTAATACTGAACTGTTTCTAAAGGAAAACTATGTCTTATAAATTTGAAGTATTTCCTAAAGGGAGCTTTAAAAAAATAAAATAAAATAAAAATAAAAATAACTACCAGTGAAAAGTTTGTTGCCAGTGGGATATTTAAATGTTTTAAAATAAGCTTCTCCTGCTCACCAAGCCTGTGATTTTTTTCATCAAAAATACAGTAAAAATTGTAAAATTGTGAAATGTTATTCCACTATAAAATAAAATTAGTGCGTCATGGTGGCACAGTGAGTAGCACAATCGCCTAACAGCAAGAGGTCACTCGTTCGAGCCTCGGCTGGTTCAGTTGACATTTCTGTGAGGAGTTTGCGTGTTCTTCCCGTGTGGGTTTTTTCTGGGTGCTCTGGTTTCCCTTACAAGTTCAAAGACATGTGGTACAGGTGAATTGGGTAAGCTGAATTGTCTGTAGTGTATGTGTGTGAATGATTGTGTATGGATGTTTCCCAGTGATGGGTTGCAGCTGCAAGGGCATCCACTGTGTAAAACATATGCTGGATAAGTTGACTGTTCATTCCGCTGTGGCAACCCCAGATTATTAAAGGCAAAAGCCAAAAAGAAAATGAATGAATAAAAATAATGGTAGTTTGTAATTTAGATTTATAATTTATTCCAGTAATATTAAAGAAGAATTAAAAATTTTCAGCTTCATTACTCCAGTCTTTAGAGTCACATGATTATTATTATTATTAATAGTAATAAAAGCAATAATTACTGGATCAATAATTTAATTTGAAACTACATACAATAAGAAAGTAGTTATTAAAAGTTTATAGTATATGTATATATATATATATATATATATATATTTAATCATTAAAAACAAAATTACATTTAAAAAATGTCGCCTTGATGAACAGAATAAAAAGAAAAACTGACCTCAAACTTTTGACCGGAAGTGTATCTGTGCTTCATGTCCATAAAATGAATGTCATTTGGACCCACTGTCTTACATTATATGGACAAAACATTACACAATTCTTCAAAGTAGATTTCATCATTGCAGCACTAAAACTTAAAATTGCTGACTTTAAGCCAATTTAGCATGTAATATTATTTGAACAATCAATCTTTCCAAATGGCTTAATCAAAACCAAAATTAATAATAATAATAATCCACACACCTTGTTCAAATGTTAAACTGCTAATACAAAGGGACTTGGAAGTTTGTTTTTAAGAGAAAAAGATGATCATGGCAGAATTTGAGTGTATATTTAAGAATATGCATCCGCTTAGTCATGTGTTACACAGATTTTAATACACGTTGTTCACTGCCTTGTTCTGTCATAATTTACTCACCCTTTACTTGTTCCAAATCAGGGGTGTGTTTTCAAAAACCATAGTTAGCCAACTAAGATTGCAAGTTCCGTCGTTACAAACAGTTAATTAATTTGCCATTTTCCAAATCTATCGTTCCAATGAACATTCGCAAACTGCGTTGCAAACTTGTACGCTTGCAACAACACCTCTGCTGTAGATAGAAGCATAATTCCTGGTTTTATACTATTCCCAGTTATCCCTCCTATGCCCTTTTCCTTTTAATCCTATCAACATTTAAACTTGGAATGATTAAAAAAAGTATTCTCAAAGTATTTTAGAATATAAAAGTATTCTAAAAAATATTCTCAATAATATTAGCAAAGGAAACATTGACCCTTTATGTGCCCTTTACATATATTTCAATTTATATGGAAAGTGAGTGCATGTTTTTATGTAAACTAATAATAGCTTTTTTTTTTTTTTAAATAAAAAAATGCGTCTGCGTTTAAAACAATATAATTTGCACAGAAATAATGTTTTTTTTTCTATAAAGAAGTTCTTACTCCACCCCATGTAGAGCATCATTTTGGACGTTTTACATTCTAACATTTTACGTTCCAACTAGTGTGGTTCAAACGATGGATCTGCGACAAAAAAAAAAAAAAAAAAAACTACGATTTTGGGGAAAACACTCGTCAGTACATCATTCTTTTCCAAAACGATGTATCGTACTTAGATAGTTCAGCCGCGAGTTATGTCATTGTTTGGGAAATCCACCTCATGAGTTTTCTGTTCTACTGAGCAGAAAACAAGATATGTTAAAAATGCTGAAAACCTGTAATTATTGACTTCCAAAGTATGAAAATCAAATACTATGAACGTCAGTAGTTACAGGTTTCCAATATTCTTCAGTATATAATATTTTGTGTTCAACCTCAAACAAAACCTCAAACTGGTCTGGAGCAAGTGAAGGGTAAGTAAATTATAAGAGAAATTTCATTTTAAGGTGAATCCCTTCAAGCATTTAAAACAAACAACCACAGACAAATTCACTATTTTCGTGCTAAATTTGTTTGGTATGAAGCGTTGTGGTATTTATAAGGAACTGCATTCAGCATGTAGCAGGAACAGACCAGACAGGATGCTTAAGTGTGCATGTTTTATGACAAGGCAGTCAGTGCAACACTCCAAACATTTTTATAGCATCGTATAGCAACCATAAATCAGGGTCGGGGTATGTGGAGCGCAGCGCTCGTGTGTGAATCCTCCTCTGTGTTTAAGTTAACCGGACAGACGCGTAGGCTTACAGACAGTCATGCACGCTGTGATTAACACACCGCAATGGGGCGTCAGGACTCAACCACAAACACTCACATACAATCTAGTGTGTACATGCACCAACACAAAAACATCCTATCTAAAGTTCTCTCTTTTACATCTCTCCTTCTCTCTTTAATTGACGAGTGCAGGCATTACGACTGCAGGGATATTGCTGGCTCTCTGACAGGCTGCATGTTTGTTGGCTGCATCTCTCTCTCTTTACATGAGCGTCCGCACACAATGAGACATTCAGACTGAACACTTATCATCCCCCTGTGCTTAACAGTGACCTCCAAACACACACACTCTGTTTTTGGTGCCTTGATTAGATGTCTTGGGGGAGGACACACACTCTGTGGTTGGAAGAGGAATGCCCAGTTTGTGCCGCTCACTTCTGTCTCATCCTACAAATAACTTCCCTCTTTTCGTATGTAGCAGAATGGCATGGAGTCTGTTTCAGCAGCCTGGGTTAACCTTTCATGTCTGATTCCCTCACCTACTTCTCACATCTAAACTTGTCATACAATTAATTCACTGTACAGAAAAGCACAGCAACAATATTGACTTTCAATGCGTGCTTGCTTGGCTGTATAACTCCTTCTTTTACATTCAATCAGGCCTACAATTTTTACTTATCGTGTTTGAAATTTGTACCTGGGAGACTCAGAATTTCTGTAATTCATTCTGGACATGCACTAGGGCTATAAGTGTCACAGGTAGGCTTTCACACAGACGTTAGAGACTCAGAGTTTAAAAAAAAATTATCTACATTTAAAGATTTACATTTTTATTTACAAAAAGAACATTTACTACATAAACAGACACATGCCACTCATGCAGGACATCAAGGTGTAACAATACAATAACAGACAAAGAATGAACTGAACACAGGGGTATAAACGGCGGGAAAAAAGAACAAAGGAAACACATGAAATCAACAAAAGCACATGGAACAAACACAAGGCACACCACATGACAAAACACAACTCAGACACACCAGACATGTGCCTATAAGTAGGGTAATACACCTAGACCACAGATTAAAAACTTGTCAATGGCATATAAATGTTGTCTCACAATTAAAGAGATATCTCATCAATGGCGGGGAAAGACTTAATGTTGCACTCAAAATCATTTATTAACAAATAAGAACTTTCAAATTTAATGCATAGGTAGCAATGTTTCTGTCTTTTTAAAGGGCATTTACTTGGTAAAGCAAGGCAGCACAAAGCAAAAGAGCACATTGTAAACAACCTTTGAATGCCGTTAGAATGATGAGAATTACTAAAACGAAACAAATGCAAGAACAACCAATCAAAACAAGGGAAAATCTAAACAAAGCGAAGCAAATAAAAACTGCAAAGCAACTCAACGTAAGCCGTGGTCACGCTAGACTTTGACCATTCAAAATCTGTTCAAATGGTACTCAGTATTTCTTCTAGGATTTACCAACTACCTATGACGTTATTTCAATGACAATTATCGTGAGCGCAGTATTACAAGTTGAGATCGCATTTATGTAATACAGCGAGTATTAACATATGTAATAACATGCGAGTCTTTGTTTGCGCACCGATTTCCTCTGTTCATGCACAAACTTCTTGCACACCTTCAAATATAGACCTTTTTCTTAGAACGCAAAATTACCCATTATGCTTTTACAATTTATTTAGCTCAAGCTTATGTTTACTTTCCATTCTCACTTATTTGGATACGCATGTATAAATGTAAGTCAATGGGGTGGAAATTGTCATGTGAGTGTGCCTTTAAAGTCCCTATAAACTGGAAGCTGAGGCTGTTTTTTTTTTTTTATTTTGGATTGTGACGCAGTTCCTTGAGAAACGGAATATTAGATGAGAAAATTATGGGTGTGGCTTGTTTTTGTACTGCGAGCTGATTAGATATAGTAAAGTAGGCATTTCATTCAGAAAGAAGATTCAGGAAAAGGGTTTTAGAAGAGTTATTACAACCTAACAGATTCCTTCTCCTTACCATTTCTGTTTGTTGTCAAAACTGACAGTTGGAGGGGTGTGGTTAAGTATGTTACCCATGCCCAATAACTCAAAATCATACATGAACTGACGCTGTGGCTGTTTTTGTTCATATTTTGATGCAGTTCCTTGAGAAAAGGAATATTAAATGAGAAAACAGTGGGCGTGGCTTGTTTTTTGTACTGCAAGCTGATTGGATGTTATAAAGTAGGCATTTTATTCAGTAAGATCAGAAAATGCACCATCATTTTTAAAATTCTGCACACCATTTCTATTTGCCCTATATTCCCCCAATACCTCAAAATCACATAATCTGACAATGTAACTGTAATAAACAGGAAGTGCATTTGCACATTTTAATTTTAAATTCTAAGAGCACACTTTTTTTTTTCTTAATGTCATGCACAGATGAATTGTTCAACACAAAACTATCAATGTGAGCTGACAAAATCATAACATAATATAAAAAAATAAATAAATAAAATAAAATAAAGACAGAAATCAAAACAAAACACAAAGTAAATTTAAGCAAAACAAAAACAAGCAAAAATATGTCAAATAAAAAAGGACAAATCACACCAGAACTTTAAATATTAACAACTCAAAACTACAGAAATTAGGAGTAAACTGATGCGAATTTTCTTCTCTTTTACATTTTTCTGTCTTATAAAGTTTGAGTTGTTTTCTTTACGATACCCCCAAATACTGTGAGCAGTGATTAAACAAGTACATCATGTAACATCATACAAGTTGTTTACTTTGCATATGAAACGTCTCAGCTGTTTAGAGGGAAAGTTCTGTTGCACAGACGTTTCATCAGGTCTGTCGCTGCTGTGTCTGAGCTCAGTAATTATGTGCTACACAGAAGATCTAAGCTTCAGACACACTCTTCACACATTCGAGTCAAGATCGAGCCTCGCAGTGAAATCCTAGCTCACTTAGGAGGCATTCACTCACGCAATCCTAACCCAGTATCCTAGGAAATATTGCGTTTGTGTGAACTCCGGCATGTTTACATTTGTTTTCTGCATTATGGTCTGGTTGTCAAGGTAGTGTACAATAAGGCTGCGCTAAAACAATCTTTAAAAAATATTGACTTTGAGGATGTGGAGCGAGTGATGTGCCTCGGTATGCTAAAAAAAAGATTGTAATTTGGCACATGGATCTTCTCAGTGAAGGAAATCAAAACAGGCACTACAGGAATAATTAAAATAAAAAAGTGAATTCAAAGGAACTTGGATGTTTAAGGCAAGAAAACTTTTTTTGTATTAATATAGTTTACTAAAAGGTTATTTTTAAATAACAATCAACTACACAATGGAGTTCAATACCAAATGCACAATCTAAGCTTTGCATTTGCGATGTTTTGTGCATTGTCCTCTATCCCTCGAGAGACAGTATTTACATTTTAAAAAATCTGATTTATTTGCAAAGTTTTATTGAAACATTTAATTTTAGTTTGCTTTTTTTAGTAGTTCAACAATAAAACAAACAAACAAACAAAAAAGGTTATGGTCAATTCAAAATGATGATGTCTGTTAAAGGACTTCTCCCCAACCTTCCCCATCATTCTCCTTTCCTTCTCAGATTGGATGGTGGGCCAAATCAAAGGTTACCCTTGACCAACTTTGGCATAGTTTTGGCATTTCTGGTCTAGAGAGAGCTTTCACTAAATTTGAATAACTCAGATACTATGAACAGACGTAATAAAAAAAATAATTAAAAACTGAAGACGGCTACACTGTGGTCATAAAGGGATGGACATGGTCAGCAACAATACCTAGGTAGGCCGTAGAGTTGACACAATGCTCAATTGGTGCTAATGGCCCTAAAGTGTGCCAAGAAAATATCCCTCACACCATTACACCACCATCACCAGCCTAAACAATTGATACAAGGCAGGATGGATCCATGCTTTAATGTTGTTGATGCCAAATTTTGACCCTTCCATCCGATTGTCACAGCAGAAATTGAGACTCGTCAGACCAGGCAACGTTTTTCCAATCTCCTATTGTCCAATTTTGGTGAGCCTATGCCAATTGTAGCATCATTTTCCTGTTCTTAGCTGACAGGAGTGCCACCCGGCGTGGTCTTTGGCTGCTGCCTATCCTCCTCAATGTTTGATGTTTTGTGCGCTCAAAGATGCTCTTCTGCATACCTTGGTTGTAACAAGGGGTTGTTTGAGTTGCTGTTGCCTTTCTATGAGTTCAAAGCAGTCTTGCCATTTTCCTCTGACCTCTGGCATCAACAAGGCATTTGTGCCCACAGAACTGTCTGGGATATTTTCTCTTTTTCTGACCATTCTCTGTAAACCCTAAAGATGGTTGTGCATGAAAATCCCAGTACATCAGCAGTTTCTGAAATACTCAGACCAGCCCGCCTGGCTCCAACAACCATGCCACGTTAAAGTCACTTAAATCACCTTTCTTTCCCATTCTGATGCTTGGTATGAACTGCAGCAGATCGTCTTGACTATGTCTTCATGCGTAAATGCATTGAGTTTTTTAAAATTTGCAGTAACAGTTGGACAGGCATACCTAATAAAGTGGCCAGTGAGTATAGATTTGATTAAAAGTGTAAGGTTTGATGTAAGTACTGCTAAATTAGAGATTTATGGCTTAGTTCAAGAGAAAATAAAGTCAATGTGAGAAAACGCCTATAAAAATATGCATTATAATTGAAATATGCAGACACGGATTGATAAAATGTGATAAAAGAAACGATTTAAACTGTATTTTGGAAGATTTCTTGACAGTAGAATGAAGAAAAAAAGGCAAAGTCAAAAAACTCAAAGTCTGACAGGTGTGTGAAAGATGTTTCTGCTGTCATCCATGATTAGTCTTTACTAAAAACAGAATTATAAAGGTGTTATGTAAAGCATGATGAGAAGTTAAATATCTATATTAATAATATCAGTATTAATTAAATTGCAATTGATAAATGGTTTAATGTTATTCTGCTAAAACATTAGCTTTTATTGGTGACACTAGTGATTATATCAATATTTTGGACTGTCTCACTACTGTCCTGCATCTTGCAGTCAGCTTTAATGTCCCTGTCATCTAGAATGAATTCTTCACCTATATATCTTCCAGAAATAAAACATGTCAGTGTCTGTTATTTATGCTCTCTAATGAATCACTGATGGGTCTACAGGTGGCCGAGCAAATAATATGAGATGAATGATAGGGTGTTTTTTACAGAACGATCAACGGATCGGAAAGATCTACTGAATACAGTCTCAGACATTGGAATGTCAGATTCTCTTTTGAGAAGAGAAAGCTAATACTTTTATTAGTTTTCTAACCAAAAAGCAGAATGAAGTCAGACAATTTATTGCAGATCTACCAGTGTTATTTATCTGTTGGCTTGTCTTAGTGGTTTTCAGTATATTGGCAAAACTAACAAACAGTTCCATATCAGAATGAATGGATATCACACTAGCTGCATTTACACTTCAGTCTAGATAAAAGTTTGGGTCAGTTATTATGAAAAAAGTACCTTATACAGTATATTGGAAACACAAACAATCAGTAATATTGTAGAACATTATTTTAATGTGAAATAATTTTGTATTCTGTCATGCCATTTTGTCATTTTATCGTTAGTAGTCCAGTGTTATATGATCCTTCATAAATGATTCTAATATGATGATTTGGTGCTCAATAAATATTTCTTAATATAAAAGGATATAAAACAAGGATATTTAAAAAAAAAATTATTTGAAACAAATGACATAATAATCTTTTGTTACTTTCCAATTACCTTTTTACTGTTAGGGAAAAAAGACTGATACTGTAATCATTGTGCTTGTGTGCTTTTTAGCCCTGACTCTATTTATTTCATTATTTTATTTATTTCCTTATTTATTTATTTTTATAAAAAAAAATTATTTAATTTATTAAATTTAATTTTATTTTATGTTTTAAAATATTTATTAGGACAGACTGTATTTTGCATGTAAATTTGGATTTGTAAATCTAAACAAAAATCAAATCTTACCTATATTTTTTAATTTCATTTTTATTTCATTTTATTAATTGAATTGAATTGAATTGAAATTAATTTAATTTAATTTAATTTAATTTAATTTAATTTAATTTAATTTAATTTAATTTAATTTAATTTAATTTATTTTAATTTAATTTAATTTAATTTTATTTTATTTTATTGCAATGGCTCTATTTATTTCAATATGTATTTACATGCAGACATTATTTTGATTGTAAATTTGGATTTGTAAATCTAAACAAACATCAAATCTTACCTATCTTTATTTATATATTTATTTATTTTTTATCTTATTTTAATGCATTTATTCATTCATTTTCCTTCAGCTTAGTCTCCATATTAAACTGGGGTCACCTGTTTTGGTCGCCTATGTTTTACACAGCAGACGCCCTTCCAGCTGCAACCCAGTACTGGGAAACATCCATATACACTCATTCACATACATTCACTATGGCCAGTTCGGTTTATTTAATTCAATTATACCTCATATCTTTGGACTGTGGGGGAAACCGGAGCACCCAGAGGAAACCCACGCCAACATGGGGAGAACATGCTAACTCTACACAAATATGCCAACTGACCCAGCCGGGACTTGAACCAATGACCTTCTTGCCGTGAGGCAATAGTGCTAACCACTGCACCAACAATGCAATGGAATGTTGTTTTTTGTTTTGATAGTTTCCTAAATGAGGCAGTGATCAATCTCTCAGGCCCAAATTTGATCTGACAAGCTCACGTCCTGTTAGAACTGGTTTTTAACAGTTTTGATTGTGCTGGAAGGGTCATGCATAACACACTAGTAATCATGAAAATATAACCAGTAGTTTTATTGCTTTTGCAAAGATTTTCTCAAGTTTGTACTTACAAATTTGTTCCATGTATCCTGCTTGACATCCAGATGCTGACCCAGCAACACGAGCTCAGGTCGGGGAGTTCAGTAAACCCATGTACCAGAGCGTCATCAAGAAGGAAGGTGGCGGCATGGGGGCGGGTCTTCGAGCAGCTTCAGACGCCTCATTGGCTGACGACTATGTGTCACCGCCTAAATACAAGAGCAGCCTGTTGCATCGTTACCTCAATGACTCGCTCCGTCATGTAATGGGGGCCAATGGCGTAATGGACGCACGGAAGAGGAACCACTCGGGCTCGTTCAGCTCAAATGAGTATGATGAAGACCTGCTGTCACCATCCTCTTCAGAAGCAGAAGCCAACTTTATCTACAGGACTGGTGAGCTGCTGCCCATCTTACATTCTTTCCTTCTCTGTGTAAGGAAGAATGGCATCTTGAAGCCGTTTCTTCAGCCCATTATCAGCTGTGTTTTGGTCCATGTATGATTTTGGCTGCAAGGAGAGTCACTGAAGGGTCATACGCTCTCTCTATTCTCTCTCTCACACACATTAATCATTTCATTTAAACCTGACATTTGTAAATATTATGAAATATGTTTTTAATAGTATGAAAATACCAGTACGTTAAAAATATTGCAGTTCAATAGTTCACAAAATTTGCGCTTTTATATTAAGCTTTGTACTTTTGATAAAACGTTTTAAGGTTGCGAGAGATCAGATTTGGACTTGCAATGAAACAGAACGCCTTGTACAGTAAACACTGTAGTTATTTCTGGTTTAGTCTTCAGCTCATTAACTATCAGCATTTCTTTAGTCAGCGTGACAGTTATTCTCACTCTTCCATCTTCATTCTCTTCTTATCTTCACATTTTTTTTCAGTATTTCACACAGTTTTGAGTTCGTGTCCAACACCAACTACTGAGGTCTTTAATCAAAAGTGAATTTGTGAAGAAAAGAGAAGCAAGTTTGGAAGCTTCGGTAATCAGTATGTGTTGAAACATATGGTCTAGGTATGTGTACTGTTTCTGAAGAGAGTTAAACTATGGCCTGATGAACTTCCTCCTGAAGTGTCACTCACTGTTGATCTCAAACACAGCTACTTGTACTTCATGGTGTGCTGATATGTATCTAAAGTACATCAATATAGAGAGTGGTTCTCAACCAGGAGATTGCGGCCCACTTTCGGCCTGTGCGATATATTAAAATAAGGGCTTGACAATCTGAATTTTCTGAATTTGTAAATGAATAATTTCCGGAACAAGGAAATAAATGTTACCATGACCGACTTCCACCAACCAATTTCAGTTTTCCCGGAACATGACATCATTAAACAGTGATAGTGCAACACATTGCAACACAGCATCACATTTCATTACAAATGTAGCTACAAGCATAAATCGTATGAACGATCATTATTCAGTTCACTTCACTATTATATGTCAAGTGAACAAATAATAATGAAATGACTCACTCTGTCTAATCTTTAAGAAGAGCCCACAGTTACTGTACCTCTTCTGTCAAGTTTTCTGGCTGACTTGAGATCGCTTTGCTTCTGTCTCCTGCTGTCCTGATCCATTCGAGCTGTCATCTTCTCAAGATCAGGCTCACTATTGAATTTACTTGAGGTATAAAAAAATGAAAATATGCTTGACTGCATCCTATTATTTAGGTTGGCCACTATGCCATTATTTATTTTCACTGCTCCCTGCTAACCAAACAATCCCCAACCAATGAGAGTGATTGTAAGCATAAGAAATCTGATTGGATGAAAACGTTGTTGGTGGCCAATAGTTAAACGTGACTTTTTCTTTTTGCTTTTGCGCATGGTGACTACCATCATGTGTGTGTCACTCATTCTCTCTCTCAAATACACACACGCGTAGGTGTTCATCACGCACAAATTAATGCCGGATACATTAAAATAAATACTAGAATGTAAAACATGAATATCTGACATTTTCTGGAACAGGGCGTTGCATTACCAGCTCAAATTAACACAAATTCAATCAAATTGGAATCAAAAACACGGTTAACCCAGGAAATCTCTATAGCATTGCAATAAAATATGAGTATTTAACTGCTTTCATTGATTCAGCGTGACTAACAAACACACAATTTTGGAATCATCTCACAACCACGCATATAAGAAATAGAACACATCTGTAGGATGGATGAAGCAAACCAGTGTTACAGTGACTTACAGCAGTCTTACATTTGGCTCTATCATTACTTGCGTGCAAACAAACTATATACAGCATGTACACTCTTGGCATGCTAATCGGTATATTCCACTGTATTTCTGTATGAATATTTTTGAATAACAGTTTTAATAACTAATTTATTTTGTTTCTGCCATCTTGACAGTACATCCTTTTTTACTAGTTTTTGCAAGGTACTAGTACTCAGCTTAAAGTGCAGTTAAAAGGTTTAACTAGGTTAATGAAGTCAAGTTAGGTTAATCAGGCAAGCCATTTGACAACAGTGTTTTGGGGGGTTATAACTATTGACCTTAAAAAACTATTTTCAAAACTAATTTGAAAAAGAAGAAGATTTTACTGCAGGCAAATTAAATAAGATATGACTTTCTTCAGAAGAAATAATTATTCTAGAAAATACTGTGAAAAATTCCTTGCTCTGTTAATCATTATTTATTAGAGAGCTAATAATTTTGCCTTCAACTGTTTATTTGTAGGGGGTTCATTCCGCTGTGGCAACCCTGGATTAATAAAGGGAATAAGCCGAAAAGAAAACGAATGAATGAATGAATGAATATTTTGTAATTGTCCAAAAGAAAGTTCGATAACATTGAAAGTTTTAAGGTGAATGTTGGCCATAGAAGCATGTTTGGAGAGGTTTGTGAGGACAGACACAATTACAGTTATATTACAGTTTCTGCAAAAAAATAAGTGTTTTCAATACTTATGAGAACAAATGTAACAGTATTTGAAAATTAGATCTACTGTAGAGATAATAAGAAAGAAAAAAATGGCATTTTTCTATTAATTTCCTCTTTGCATCTGCTTGATAATGGCTTCATCTGGTTTCTAGAGATTTTCTCATTTAACGAAAAAGGCTCTGCCAGAGTTGAATCCGCTCGAACTCGTCTGTTTTGAGGTCAGCATTGGTTTGGAGTCTCTCAGCAGGGAGCGTCTACAGTCTTCACAGTTGGCTTTGTTTGCTTCCATGTGCTGTTTAAGTCCTCCAGGTGTTTGTGATGTTATCACAAATCTTTTAGACGTTCCAAAATGACAAATATGTTTCAGAAGAGTTCTGGCAATTATTTAAGCCCTGTTCATCATCATCTGGAAGAATGTCAGCCCCTATTGATCATCCATAGGAATTTATGTGAGATACTGTGTCGGCGACTAATGCCTTCAAGCGCATGTCTTCACTTTCTTTTCTTCATGAACGCGCCACAGATTTCTCCAGGTCAGAACACTGAGTCTTTGTCCTGACAGGATTCATAACTGATAACATTGCTTGCTCCTCATTTCTTCGCTTACATACTGCTGTTCACATCAAGCCGCAGGGATCTCACCGTGCAGGCTTTGTTTTACTTTGTTTCTCATTTCATTTGGACATTTCTTACTGACAAACATGGTTTGCATTATCTCAGGGCTGAGGGACAGAATGCTGGGATTTTCTTCAAACCCAAGGCATTTGGGTATTTAGATGTTGCAAACCACCTTCTGGACCGGTGTTTAAAGACTGTTTGTGTAAACACCTGCTGATATAGACATTTTAAGAGTTTTAAAGAGATTTGTTGCTTAATTAAGCTTGAATTAGTTCTTTCAGAATTTAGTTAAGCTCCTATGATGTGTTCACACTTGGCAGGCTTTGTTTAAACTTGGTCAAGTTTGTTTGAATAAGTGTGATTTCTGTCATTTAAACCTTGGCGCACACAAACTAGCATACTGATGCCACTAAAAGATGGGTTTCAATCCATTTCCAAACAAAGCATAGTGCGGTTCAGCTAAAACAATGCAGCATGAACCAACGAGATCTAAAAAAACAAACAAAACTGAATATGATGTCACAAGATGCAACCGTTTAAAATCTTAACATAGACAGACAATGAATAGCAACCAAGGCTCATTGTTAAAACGAACCAATATATACACTTCTGGAGAGAGCCATAGATGTCCCATGAGGTACGTTTTTTGCAGTTTTTGTTATCGTGAATCTACTGAAGCTTGCGGTGTATGCTTTTGAGATCTCTAATTTTTCTTGCTAGTGGCATTACCGCTTGCTGTTCTCATATAAATCCACTAGAGGTTGCTGTCAACTGACTGACTGACAGATTGACCGACCTACCCTCCTTTCTCTTATTTCCACCCACTTCCCTAAACCCAACAGACAGTTTAAAAAAAGCAATCTTTTTAAAAAAGCAATTGTCAGATTTTTATTTTTATTATGTTTTTAACTGTTTACTGCTTTTGTCTTACACACCTTTTGGAACCATTCTTTGCCAGACTCAAACCCTGTCGTCGTGGTCAGCTCCTCTCTGCCTCTAAAGTCCACTGACATACATGGCGAGCTAACTGAACAAACTGGTAACAGCGGGAAAGCCGTCCACATGGAGGTAAGCGGTCAGCTCGTAACCGTGAAAAGGAACGACGTCATACCACCCCATAGTGTTCATTTTAAAGACAAAATGCAGCCATACGTACTTCTGGCTACATAATTTGCGATCTCCAGAAACATACATAGGGCTACGTCTTCAGAATGAGCCTATGTTGATGAATAGCATAGTTTGACATTATGCAAAATTATAGAGCTACATAGTTCAGTTACATAAGTAAAATGTGACTCATGTTAGCCGTTCTTTAAGACAATAAATGCATTGTACATTCTCTTTATTCTTTAAAACATTGAAGTTCTTTTACTTTTGCAAACCACTACACACTGCATGAAAGGTAATATTTCAAAAATCATAATACAGGCGCTTTAATGAATATTGAATAATGAATTTGAGTGTCTTTTCTTTGTCTGGTACTGTACAAGTGTCGGTTTATCATTTCACACAAGTATACAACCAGACCCAAATGTTTAGAAGCACAGGATCCCACACAGCAGCATCTGCGTAAGAGCGAATAAGGGATCAATCAGAACAAAATGCAGCAATAAACTCTGAATTAAATTGATATTGAATTTGTCATTCAATCTAGTTGCTGGAGTTTGCATCATGTCCTCCTGGGATTTCTCAGCTATTCTTTTTCCTTCCATTTTCTTTTCTTCTGCATTCCTGGATATTTTTATACAAACATTCCCTGGGTTTCAAACTAATAGGGCGTGAGGTTGAAATTTTAGATCTATAGTCGGTTTTCTTTCTCTTTTTTTAATAGCTGTCTAGCTGTCTGTGTCTCTCTGCGCTCGGTT